ATTTCAGGCAGAAAGGAAGAAAAAGGAAGGAGAATCAGGAAAAAATCTAAGTGCTTTATGAGTACCAGATAAATATTTCTTGTGAGATTTATATTGAGATTGTAGAGTGTATTTTATATTAATTTTATATTAATACAGAAAAGCATTGAAAGCATGGAAATCTGAATACCAACTTTGTATTTGTATGATGATGGCCTACTTATTTAACCATGTATTTTCTCATTTTAAACATTAGGGATTTATATATATTATATGTATATACTCCTACCTATATAATTTTGATATTTTCTTGATTGCTGTAAATGAAATAATAATGATAAAGAAATGCATTATAAAATGTAAGGTACTCTGAAAATCTTGGTAGCTTGTTTTCTGTTCGTGTATAAACCACCTCCTGGAATTACATCTAAAATAGTAATTTTTTTCAAGGCAGGATGAAGGAAAAATCTTCAAACAAAATAAAATAAAATCATAAGAATAAAAAAAGCTCTTGAGAATAAATTTCAAGGAACAAAAATTTAATGTTTTCTTTTAGAAATAAGTTTATCAGGAACAATGTTAATATGGAAATGTATTTAGTCATTTTTATGAAAATCCTATTCTGTAAATATGTATTACCTGTGACACAATGTAAGAAAATTGCATAGTTTTGGTAAAATATTATATAAGGATATTCCAAAAGTTCATGAAAAGATAGCTAATAAAGATGTTTATTTTACTTGAAACGATCTTTGAAACCTTCACTTTTTTCATAATACATTTTGACTAACTTTCTTCAAGATTTACTTGTTTATTTGAAACTCAGTTACAGACACAGAAAGAGAAACAGAGAGAACAAGAGATCTTCATCTGCTGGATCATTCCCTAGTGGCCAACCCTGGGCCTGCCAAAGCCAAGAGCTTCGTCTGTCTCCCATTTGAGTGACAGGAGCCCAAGCACTTAGCTCCTCTTGCATTGCTTTGCCCAGGCCATTAGCAAGAAGCTGCATCAGAAGGGGAACAGCCCCTCCAGCAACACTATGAAGTACCCTTTGTATCTTAACAGTCATTCAGACCTAGTTACTTTTAGACAATACTGACACAGCCACAAAAAGCTTCTAAAATAACAGTTTTATTTATCATTAGGTAAGACATAATAACACTAAATGCTGAGAACGTGTCATTTCACTTCTCCCTTGCTAGGAGAAAAAGGCACACTCTTTTCTCCTTTTTTAAAAAATTATTTGTTTTTATATGAAAGGCAGGTTTACAGATAGACAAGGAGAGAAAGAAATCTTCCATGTACTGGTTCAATCCTTAACTGGCCACAGTGACTGAGGCTGAGCCAATCCAAAAGCAGGTGTGATAGGGAGCTGGATTGGAAGTAGAACAGCCAGGACTCGAACCGGTGCTTACATGGAATGCCAACACTATGGATGCCAGGATTAGCTTGCTAAGCTGCTGCGCTGGTCCATGGCACTCTTAACATTGTATAATATGGGATGGAGTTTTTGCCCATCTGTGACTCCTCAGCGAATCTAGATGCTTCGTCCCAACAGACAGCAAAAAGATGAGTGTTTTCCTGGGCGCCTGGTACAGCATGTTTATGAGTAGCACTTATTCTGCCAAAAGTTGGCACTGAGCAGAGCCCTTGGGAGCCCTACCAAGCATAAATGGAAGGCTGAGGACAGGGAATCAGGGACAGCTTTTAACATTGACTTTTATTCGGCTTAAAGTCAAATGGAGTAGGATGACCTGCTTGTAGACATCTCTCTGTGGCACGGCTCCAAGGAAGTGAGTTCTGTATTGATCTCTCACATTAGGATGTCTGTATTAAACTCAGTCTAGCCGGTGTATTTCATTACCAATGAAGCTTCTTGAACATCTCTTGTATCAGTGCTAGTGCTTCATCACAGTATCTTTGTTTAAAATGTGGTTGTTTTGAGATCGTGTTGCTTTGAGGGAAACTGGAGGCCAGTGTGTTCTCCCGGCTTATTTCGGCGTGGCTTCTTGCAACTGCATCAGGTCTGTTAAGTATAGGACTCTTAGGTGTCCCATTTGCTTCTTCCCTCTGCTGAACCTCTCCCTTCTTTTATAAAAGGTCCTTACTTCTGCTTTCTTGACCTGTCTCTGAAGTTCTTCTTGCTTGCCTGGGGTTCTGTTTACTCTTAATTAGCATAATAACAGAAGTTGATTAGACACTCCCAATCTACCAAGGCTAGTGTATAACCCAGATTATCAGGAGGTGGTATCCAAGCTCAGCCTTGGACAATCAACAGAGTTAGCCAATTATGCATAGTGTGCAGAGAAGACCTGGTGCAGTTGGACAGCTCCTAAAGAAAAGAGTTCAGAGACAAGTTACTATGTAGATCATCTGAGGGAATAAACTGGTCAAGAGGCCCAAGCCTGCAGAAAAGGAGTTGTGCTTTTGTTTGGAGAGCAGACACAAGCCAGTGAAGGATTTAATCAGGAGAGTAATGTGCTTCAATGCAGGTCTAGGACCTCTCTGTGATTGTAGAGATTGGTTTTGTAGGGTAACTTGGGGGTGTGGGGACAAAACGGAGAATGTTGATTTCTGTTATATGACACTTCATTGTCGGATGCTTTTTGGTAGGATGCCATAGTCTTTAAAAGTCTTTTCTGTATAAAAGGTCTATGCAAACTGGATAAATTCAAAGTTGTTGCCTTCGAGTCCCAGAGAGCAAAGCTTGGGTGGGAGTGTTCCATTGCTCCTAGTGTGTGATGTAGGTGCCTGAGACAGTAAGCTGGGTAGCCATCCTTCACCAGGTGCAGCCATGTGGTTTTATCATAGCAATCAAGATTCCTGAACAAACCTTATCTCATCCCAGAGTCACATGCTGATTCAAATAATATGTGCTGGGAAAGCATGCTGCAGCGCCTGTCATTCTTGAGAAAAGGAAGACAGCTGAAAACCAGTTAAAAATAAACCTGATTTTTACTGTAGTACAGAGATTTCCTGAGCAAGTTAATTTGAGCAAGAGATTAATAACAGGTAACTGCTGTTAAGTCTTCATTTTTGCATGTTCAAATGGAAAAGACAAGAACCAGTGATGCTTTGTTTGAAAGAAGAACCATAGCTCATTATCAATGATCAGATTATAGTCCCTCTCAAAAAGACAAGTTACTCAGAATTATCCCTGCAAAAGCAATAATGAGGATTGGCATAATTTAAATTGAAAGCAGAGAAATACTCAAAGTTGACTTTTAACTATAGCTTTTCCACTCTCTCCAGTACTATGAAGTCAAAAAGAATCATTCATCATCCCAGTATTAGCATATTGATATGTGATTTGTAAGCTAGTTCTTATTAGTACAAATATTTAGTTTCTTTTTGAAGTGTTTCACTCAGTTTATGTAATAGTGTTATAGTAGTTATATCTTATTGTTTATACCTGTAAGCATTTGGTCACACTTAATATTGTAAAACAAATTATTAAATTGTATGCTTGGATGGTGACAGAGGTTCAAGGTAAATGATTTTACTTTATGAATCTTGAGGTTTAACTTTGCAAAAGGTTTTTGCAACAGTAGTGTTACATTTTCTCCTGATATGCCTTCCAATAGCAAAACACTGAAAATGCAGCTCCCATCATCTGTTAATCATGATGGGCTGAACATTGACTTCTGTGATTGACGGGGAAAAGCTGGATTTAAAATTAAAGGAAGAGAAGAGACAGAATCAATGGGACCTGTCAGTGTGGGCGTGGAGTGTATGCAGGAGGAAGGGAAGCAGGAGTCTGTCTCTGCTCTGAACTTCACATAGAAACAGAACTTGGCTGTTCACATCAAGAGAAAGAGGAGGAAGGCTGAGACGACTGCAAAAAAGCTCAGAAACCGCAGGACCATCAGCCAACAGCATCCTGCCGATGATTCAGTGCTCTCCAAAGTAATGCCCCATTCCCTGCCCTCGCTACTCTGGCTTCTGGAAGCTTTAGCTACGCCAGTACACCAGGATGCACTTGAGGCCTCTTCTAGGGCAGCAGAGTTGAGTTAAGGGAAGTAGGCCGACTAGCCAATTTCTGGGGTCATCACGGGGCTCCAGACAGCTGCTAACACCTGGGTTATCTTGCATCAGAATAGAGCCAGGCCCCTGCAACTGATGGCCAGCCAGAGAACTTGAGCATAGATTCCAGTCTTGGAGCTGGAAATGAAGAAGACAGGACAGTATGGGGTGTGGGTGTCGCCGTGGCTGTCTATTCGCTGCCGTGGAGGCCTGTCCTCCCTGGCCCCGTTAAAAGTCCTGTACTTCATGTGAAAGGAGCGTATTCTATGGATCCTTTCCTTCCCATTCCAAGTTTGAAGATTCTTACAAGAGGGCTTAGAGTTTTAATCCTCTAATTGTCACAAAGGCTGTGAGCAGTAAGCAGCTTACCGAGGGGTTAAGTTTTGCTGTGAGTTTTCTTTCTTTGACTTGAGTGGAGAAGAGCAGGTCGTAAGCTGTGTTTGGCAGGGGTCAGACGACTGTGCTGGCACTCATGCGGCCCTCTGCTGCCTTGGTATTGGTTGAGTTGGGGCACAGTGCAGATGAGAATTCAGTCAAGGACCTCAACAGTGTTTCAGCTTTTTGAACTGTCCTATAGAAATGCCATCCAGGGCCTGGTGCAATGGCCTAATAGCTGAAACCTTGCCTTGCAAGCACTGGGATTCCATTTGGGCACCAGTTCGTGTCTCGGCTGCTCTGCTTCCTTTCCAGCTCCCTGCCTGTGCCTAGGAAAGCAGCAGAAGATGGTCCAAAGCCTTGGGACCCTGCACCTGCATGGGAGACCTGGGAGAAGCTCCTGGCTCCTAGCTTTGGATCGGCTCAGTTTCGGCCATTGCAACCCTTTGTTCACTTTGGAAGTGATCAGGATTTTTGTCTCCCCTTTTCTCTGTAAAATCTGATCTGCCTTCCCAGTAAAAATAATCTTTCTGGAAAGAATAGTGCTGTCTAAAATGTTGAGCGTACCCAAGAGCCTCCTGTGATCAGGCAATGGATGTGACGGCTTCTGCATTTTCTTTCAGGAATCTCCACCACAGGCCCCCTGGGCATGGGCAGCACCACCACCAGTACCACCCTTCGCACCACGACGTGGAGCCCAGGCAGGAGTACCACGCCGTCCATGTCTGGCAGGAGGAACCGGAGTACCAGCACCCCATCTCCGGCGCTCGAGCTGCTGGATGACGTCACCACACACCTTCCCTCAGCCTCGTCCCAGATGCCAGCTCCAGAAGAAAGCTGTGAGGCTGTAGAAGCCCGTGAAATCATGTGGTTCAAGACCCGTCGAGGCCAGACAGCCAAGCAGCCATGCCCTGCGGGGACCATCGGTACGTCCAGGCAGTGCGGAGCTAAACATATGTGCTTCCTTCGGTTTCATTTCTAAAGGCACTTTGCTGTGTGTGTGTTTCCTTAAGTTACTACATATTGTGTTACTTTGCTTTTGAGTGAAGGCTGAATTCAGCAGAGTGACAACCCAGAATTGGAAAATGCAATCTGAAGCCACAGTTGAGGGTTTCTGGGGAATATGAGGGATTTTGGTTGCTTGAGCGGTGGGTCTCAGGGTCAAGGCAGGTTCAGGCGGCAGGTGTTGGCCCCTGCAGTGCACTAGCTACCCAGCAGGAGACGCTTGCTTGCTGGGACTTGGTCTCCTGCCTGTCACCTACCTTGGTAACCAATTGCAGAAAATGAGGTTGAATGCTTTTGTCTCACAAGATCGCTGAAACAGTGTAAACTTGAACAAAGAAGATGGTTCGATGATACCATTAACATGTTGTCTTGCGGTAGCCAGGAGCTCTTAGCATGCTGACAACAGCAGCCCTCCCTCTGGCCCGCGCTGTCTCCCCTAGCAGCAAATACAACAACAACGCAACCACACAGATCCCTGCCCGCAGTGTTACTGACAAGATTTGTCATTTGCCTAAATGACAGTCTTTTCAGTTTCCAAGTTAAAGGCATAATTACCCTGATTTGTTAAATCTACACTCATCTATATAATACTTGAAAAACAAGAAAAGGTTTGCATTCTTCCCTGAAAATCTGTGCTTTAACAAAAAACAGAACAGATATCACTGATTTTGATTTTTTTAAGGATAAGGAGCTTTTTTTTAGTTTTTTTTTTTTAAGAAAATGTCTCAATACGATTATGTCATTCCAATTCCAGGGTATAGGGGCAATTTAAAACTGTCTTGGAAAATAGAATTTAAAAATGCAAAACAAAAAAGTTGTGAAGTCCATGCATTTGGGGGCGGGGGAGAGTCTTCAAAAAGTTCATGGAGAAAGAATATTATGAAAAAAAATGAGGTATGAGTTTCAAAATTCTTTACACCAAAACCTAATACTTCTTTAAAATTTAGTTTCACTTCATTTTTTTAAGGCAGATGTGTTAGGGGGATGGAGTTAGTTAGAGAGATGGTACATCCCCTGGATTACTCCCCCAAAGGCCTGCACACATGGGACCAGATCAGGCTGCAGTCAGGAACTTGGGCCTCCATCCTGAGCTCTTGCGTGGCTGGCAGGGTCTCAGCACTTCTGACACTGTCACTGGGCTTCCCAGGTGCGCGGCAGCAGGCAGCTGGGAACCAGGCACAGGAGATGTCACCGCCACGGAGCTCAGTGTGAGAGTTTGCAGGAACGAGGCTTCACCTGCATGTTAAGGAACCAGTGCCAAGCCCTGGCAGGGGCAGTACAAAGACTGGGAAAGGAAATTCCAATTGGAGGAAATAGGTGCTGTCCTTGTACGTGCTTCAGTCTGGAGTCTGCCAGTTGGGGAGTTGCAGTTAACACAGCTGGAAAGTTGGGCAGTAGGTACTGGCTCGTTTGCCAGCTGTGTGTGCTGGAAAGTCATTGAACAGAGGAGAGCAGGAGGGAGGAGAAAGTAGTGAAGAAGGTGTTGCAATCATTCAAGGTTTCCCAGAATGGACATTGACACCAAGCTGTATTACCACAGCTTGTGAGGCCTTTAGAAAGCGTGCTTTAAAACTTCCCAGGGCCCAGTGCTGTGGTCTGGTGACTAAAGGCCTCACCTTGCACATGCCAGGATCCCATATGGGCACCAGTTTGTGTGTCCCAGCTGTTCTACTTCCCATCCAGCTCCCTGCCTGTGGGCTGAGAAAGCAATGGAGGATGCACAAAGCCTTGGGACCCTACACCTGCATGGGAGACCTGGAAGAAGCTCCTGGTTCCTGGCTTTGCATCGGCTCAGTTCCAGCCATTGTGGTCACTTGGGGACTGAATCAGTGGATGGAAGGTCTTTCTCTCTCTCTCTCTCTCTCTGTAAATGTACTTTTCCAAATAAATAAATAAATAAATCTTAAAAAAAAAAAAAGCTTCTTCCCAATTCCAGAAAAATAGTGGCATATTTCTGAAGAGCAAAGTGCTTTTAGGTAAAGTAATCCCCAAATCTTTGCAACAGATGTCTGAAGTCAGGGCTTTTTAACTTAATGATGAAGGGACAAGGAACTTAACAATCGTGGTACAGTAAATTAAGCTACCACCTGGTGTTCCAACATTGCAGCACCAGTTGGATGCTGTTCCAGCTCTCTGCTAATGTGCCTGGGAAGGCAGCAGAAGATGACCCAAATACCTGGGCCCATGCCACCCACGTGCACAACCCAGGTGGAGTTTCACGTTCCTGGCTTTAGCTTAACAGAACCTCAGCCATCGTGACAGTTGAGGAATAAAACAGTGGTTAGCGTAACTCTGGTCTCTGTCTCCCTTTTTCTGTCACTCTGCATTTCAAATAACTACGAACAGTAATCCATTCAAAGACAAAATAAGGATGAGGGAACTGTGGCGTGAAAATAAGGGGACAGAACAAAGATTCAAGTCCCAGATAGTCTCCTAATTCAAATATCACAGGCCATTCAGAAGTAAATATTATCCCTCTTTATAACAAAGGCATGGCAGCTTTCAGAATATTTTCCAATCTTTTTCTGGAAAAAAATAATTAAATATGTACTTTTTATAAAAAATAAGGATGCCTTCTTGTCTTCCCATGACTTCAAAGAGAAGAATATTCGGAAAGTAGAACTAAAAGCTGCTTGGTTTAGGGACATGCGTTTGGCAGTGCACCTGCCTGCCTGCATTGGATGGCAGGCACAGTTGCAGGCTCCAGCGCCTTGCACGGGCAGTACACATTGTTAGTTCTTGCCACTCTTCTGGAATGCCTGGATGGGGCTCCAGGTTCTTGGCTAATTTGTCAGCTGCTCTGGACATGTGGGGAGAGAACCAGTGGGTGAGAAAGCTTTCCTGTCCTTTTCTGGTTTTCAAATTAAAATCTTTGACAAAAATGTGTATTGGGGCAGGCAAGGTGAAGCTGCCATTGTTGTGGCTTTCGTCCCATGTCACAGACCTGGAGTTGAGTTCCACTTCCTGCTAAGTCTCCCTCTAGGAGGCCCAGGATGCTGGCTTAAGTACTTGGGTCACAGCCACTCACCTGGGAGACCACAGTGAATCCTGGGCTCCTGACTTAACCCAACTGTTATGGGCATCTGGGGAGTGGAATGGTGGGGACGAGCGAGGAAGGAGATAGAAAAAGAGAAGGAAAAGGTGGATGTAGGAAGAGAGAAAAATTGAAAGAAAGAAAAAGAAAGAGATTAAGACACTTTTAAATCCATCTCTACTATGTCATCATCATCCAAAAACAAAAAAAGACCTTTTTAAAAGGACAGGTTGACAGGTTGAGGGCCTGACATGGGTTATTTCATTATCTCACATGCTTGCTTGTTCGTGTCCTGACTGCTCTACCTATAAGCTCGCTTTCTTCTCATGGCCTAGGAAAGACAGCAGAAGGTGGCCAAGTGTTTGGGTCCCTGCTGCCCATGTGGGAGATCCAGATGAAGCACCTGGCTCCTGCAGAATCAGAGTATGAAAAGCATCTGTCTCTCTGTACCTCTGCCTCTCTTTCTCCAACTCTGACTTTCAAATAAATAAATATTTTTAAAGTCTATTTTTTTAAAGAGGTTTACTTTGATATATGAATTTTAAAATCAGTGTATACCATTTTTTGTGTTACGCTTTTTCAAGAACTTTCTGAAGATACCTTGAAAGCATGGGTTTCAAATATTTCTATACCAAACTAAGTTTACCTTTTAATTCGGTTCCCCGTAACTGTTTCAACTACTCTCACATCATAAAATTTGGGACACTGTACCAATATTTGACCTTTTCTAGGAAAAAGCCTTTTTTTTTCTTAAACAACATTAGTATTACCAATGACAAAGCATCTAAGAATACTAACAGAATGATACCTGATGAATTCCATTTAGACAAGTACTTTTATAGAATAACAGAAATATTTTCATGTTCCTCAAGAAGTTGGTTATTGTATGGACTTATAGCAAATCATGTCAAAAATCATTTCATGATTTTCTTTCTTTTTTTTCCTTAAAGATGTATTTAATTTTATTGGAAAGGCAGAGAGAAGGAGATACAGAAAGAGCTTCCGTCCACTGGTTTATTTCCCAAGTGGCCATAATGACCAGAGCTGAGCCAATCTGAAGCCAGGAGCCAGAAGCTTCTTCTGCATATCACATGTGGGTTCAGAGTCCCAAGGCCATGAGCAGGGAGCTGGATGGGGAGTAAATCAGCCAGGACAGAGGCTGAAGCTCATATGGGATCCTGGCACATGCAAGGCAAGGCCTTAGCCACTGAGTCGTCACGCTGGGCTAAGCAATCATTTGGTGATTTTCTAGCAGGTGATTTAACAATAAACAATATTCTGATTTGTTCCCCTACATTTCTCTAGTGCCAAGTACATATAGTGTTATAAACATGATCTCAACTGAGTCATCCGATTTTTATATTTGTTCGTATTTACACAGCACAAATGGGAAGTCACTCTGAGAAAAATGTTGTGAATATTCCAACAGCTGTCTTCCCCTGGTTCCCTAGGTGTATCTACTTACCTATGCCTTGCGCCTGATGGGATCTGGGATCCCCAAGGACCTGACCTGAGCAACTGTTCATCTCCTTGGGTCAATCATATAACACAGAAGGTGAGTTGCATGACCAGCAAGGGAAGCTTTGCAACCTGTGTTCTCCCATGTGGATAACTGCCTCTGGTACTTGTATTTCTACCAAATGATAATTGTTAAATAGTAATTCAGCAATACACTTGGCTTCAAGAACATACCCATGAACTTCCTCTAGGTCAGGAGCTACTGATTATAATGACTATGCTCCTAGCAAACATTCCTGTGACATTGTGGAATGCAGATATGGGTGTCCAAAAGGTATTAAATATTGAGTGAGCAAATCCATCCAGCATATATGCATAAGGCTTTTCCTGTGCAAATAATAAGAAAAAAAAAGTCTGCCTTTGGAATATTGAGCCAATCCTTTAGCAGTGCTGGAAGTATGCACATGTGTAGCAGCATTCTGGATGCAGATCTGGAAGGCTTATTGGGTTGCAATATGTTGGACATTTTTACTATTAATGCACTGTGGGCCTTTGAATTGATTTCATTACAGACGCAGAGCAGATATGCACTGATGCCAACTGGGCCGTGGGATGAATCCTTATTATCGCAATTTCTGTGGATTTACACACTCCTAAAAAGGACGGTCCATCTATGGCACATTAGCTGTGCCGAGGAATTTGCAGGAGAGATTTTTCCTGGGAAATATTACAGATGATTGCCTCACTAAAAGCTTGTCTCCGCCGCTTGCTCTCTTCTCTATTTGTTTTTAACCAGGCTCATCCTCAATAATATACTGTCTAATAATCCACCCACAGCCACCCAGGGAGATCGTTTAACAGATGAGCCACAGCCATCACTTTCCCCTCAATCACGGGCGAATGGTGGCTCTGCGGACTCCCGTCACCCTCTTCCATATGCATCTGCACACTTGTTGCTCTCCATTACTATGCTGCTCTGGCTGCAGCAGGCTCTCTGCCACCATTTTTACCTCCTTTGATTTTATGACAGTGTCATCCAGACCCCAGGGCAAATAACTCTTGGTGGGTGTGATCAGATGAAGAGATCAGCAGTGTATTTTTTTACAGTAGCAACTTAAATGCTCCCTAGAAATTTGGCCCAGAGGTTCATATAAATTCAGCCATAATTCACCTAGAAAGCTCAGTATTTCCATGATGATTTGTGAACGTGGTTGGACTGTTTCATTATAGAAATCGCTGAGCAACTTCAGTTGATAATCATATTTAATTCCTTTCTTTCCTCTGCAGCCCTGCTAATCTTAGGACAAAAGAGCTAATTCCTTTCAAACACCAGACAGCTGTTGCCCATTTGATTCTTAGATGGGGGTGTTTGTGGTTTGTCATATATACATCCTGTTCTTCCAGAGCTTTCTGCTTCATTCTGGAGAATCTATACAATTATGTTATGTGGTAATTATATTAAAATTAAACGGCTTAGGTAGTTGGAATCTAAGATACTATCATAGGTGGGCTACTCGTAAATTTATGAAATCTTGAATGCTGTACCAGGAAACATTTGGAATCAGCCCCTTCCTGCTCACACATGAGTACATGAGCTGTTGTTTTGGCAGGATCCTTCTTGGAACACAATCCTGGGAAAACAGCAGGTGGTCACCTTGGGTGTCCATAGCCACTCACCTATGCTCTCTCTCTTCACTATTTTCGTTGTTTTACCTGCTTGTGTCTCTTAAACATTCATGTGACTCACTGAAGATAGAGGAGAGTGGAGCAGGTTTCTTTACCACAAAGCTCCACCACTTTCAAATATTAGCATTGTAAGCCTTCAGCAGAAAATCTGTAAGTCCCAGAGCTATTTGCCTATATTTTCTCTCCATCCTTCCCAAAGCATCTTCCTTTCACAGCATCCATCCTCTTCCATCACTTGTCTCAGTCCCAGAGTCTCAACCACAAACAAATGGAACATTTGAGCAGGATTTACACACAGTGGTACTGGGCAGTGAAGGCAGACTGCACAGAGGTAATCAAGAGCTGATAGGGAGAGATGCTTCTTGCCCAGGGTGTGTGGGATGCCAGGTGGAGAGACCAAAAATGGGAAGCAGAGAACACAGCCTCATCTCAGGAGACCTATCAGAGAGAGATCTAAGGCGTTATACACCTGAGCTCACCCAGACTCCTTCCTCTAGCCACCTGCCCAGTCATCCATTGGCCACACCCAGCCAGGAGCTGGAGAGGAGGATGCTTTTTGTGACTGCAGGAAGGCACCAGGTGTCCGTGAACTAGCAGAAAAAAGAACCAGTTCATGCTGATGTTTTCTTTCCTCTCTTGCTCTGCCTTCCTTCCCTCTCTCTCTCCTCTTTCTCCATCTTCTTTTCTCTCTCCTCACCGCCTCCCCCTCACTGCATTTTTCTGAGTTATTTCTGCCATGTTGAAAAAGTTAAGTGAAATAATTATCTTCATCCTTCATTCATTTTCTTTCCCTTAATGTCACTTTGTACATTTCTTACTTTTAAAGAAAGGTAATACTTTAGTTCCTCCTGAACCTGCTGGAGAAATACCACCCCCTCGTTTTCTATGGCAATTGTCATTCAGTTGAAAGGTGATTGTCATGGAAGCTGGGTGGTTTACTCCTCCTGATTGTGAGCCTGAAGGGAGGGGCCCAGCCTCCCAATCCTTCCAGGCTGCAGAAACAAAACCCTGCAGAGTGGAGGGCCAGTGGATCAACAGACATGCCGTTCCCGTAGCTGTGGCTCTGGGTCTGAGGCGTTCTAAGACCAGACTGCAGGCTGATTCCATGTATTGGTAATGACCTCCTCCCTGGCTCAAAGGGTGGTGCCTTGCCACCGTCAGGGAGGGGGGTCAGCCTGCTCTCTGGTGCCTCTGTCATAAGGCACCAATCCTGCTTCTCAGGGCTGGACCCTCAGGATCTAATTGCCAACCACAGGCTGCCACCACTTGATCCTGTCAGTCCCACTCAGAGGGCTGTGTTTCAAGTTTTAGCCAGGTTTTTGGGAAGACATACACCTTCAGCAGCCTCCCTCTGGGCTTTGTAGTGCCCAAAGGAAGTGAGTGGCTTGACAACTTGGAGAACTGAGAGTGGTAGGTGTTCATTCTTAATCGGATCTCTATTTCCCCAACTGTAAAATGGGGTTGAGTATTAATTTCTTTTCTTTTTAAAAAATGAGGTATTTATTCATTTGAAAGGCAAACATGAGGGAGGTGCAGTTACAGTTATTTCATCAGCCGGTCCACTCCTCAGTTGGCTGCACTGACCATGCCAGAGGCAGGAACCAGGAGCTTGGGTAGCAGGGGCCCTTGGACCATCTGCCACCATTTCCCCGGGTGTGTTAGCAGGGAACTAGATTAAACTGGAGCATTTAGCCCGCTGTGCCACAATGCTGTCCCATAAGCAGTCATTTCCTTATTAATAATATTTGCTCACTATAAACAGCATTCATATACAAATTGAAGAATCAAAATGGTTATTTTTAGTCATTTGACCATTATCTAGTCAAAATAGCAAGTTTAATTTGCATGTTCTTTAAAAATGAATTATGGTTTCTTCTTCAGCAATCAGGCCACAGGGGAAAAACAGACAAAGATTCTTGATCTTTTTTGATACATTAGCACAGTTAAAGATTACATTCTGTGTGACAAAAGTTTAGTACTTTTTCCTACGGTAGGAGAACAGAGTTTTTTTTAAGGTCGGAATACAGTGAAGAAATTATTTACAGATATGTCAGAGTACTTTTCATAATGATGGGACTTAATAAAAAGCAACACTTACATGGGAAGGAAGAAGGAAAAATTGTACAGTTCGTCAATGGGAGAAGAGAAGGTTCTGGATGGGAGAAGATGTCTGAATGCAGAAACGGGCAGAGGAGAAACGGTGGATGGATGGATGGAAAGACAGGGAGTCCCTCCCCAACTATTTTACCATTTTCAGCTTTTATTCAAAGCCAATAAATTGACTCACAGACCTGTGGAGGACTTAGTTTTTCAAGAGTTATTTTTGATTTTACATATCTTCATTTAAAGAATTCATGGTGTTATCATACTGAATAGCTTCCTAGTGATAGTGGCATACCTGCTGAAAGAGGTTGGCTTCCTGAACCTTTATCTAGTCAAACAATTGTGGGGAAAGTGGGGTCCTGACCTGCCCCAGGGCATGACCTGTTTCTCTTGCTCTAGGGGAAAGGGAGTGTCTGACCTGCCCCAGGGGACAGCCTGTTTTTCTTGCTAGAGGGGGAAAGGAGGGCCTTATCTGCCCCAGGGCAGGGAATAGCCTGTCCTCTCCTGTGGTTTTTTCCTGTGACTCATAGCAAACTACTGGCAAGGTTATTCCATTTTCCAAATAGGAAGAACATAGATTTCTAGAAATGATATTGTTTTATAATACAAAATAAGTCAGCTTTCTGCCTGGAAGACCAGGTTGAATTGTCTGCTGCATCTTAATTTCCCCATTTTAACTTCCTTTGAACTTGTAGAGGATGAAAGGAAATTGTTCATAATTTTACTGGAGATCACTATGCCCATAACTTGATACTTATTTATCCTACCTCCTGTTGTAGTCAGAAGTATTTTGTTTGCAAGTGTCTATAGTTTATGTGGGAAATCTTGCAAAATCTCAAAGCTGGTATCAGGGAAAAATGGTTTTATTGTGTCATGACTTCCAATGCAAGCATCGTTGTCTCTGTCGTCATTTTGCCCCTAAGTGAATCCATGATTGAATCCTCCCGCATTCTGGTTTCAGCTATAATCCTGCCATATCAGCACAGACATTTTTTCCTCACTTTTTTTCACCAGCTCACAAGATGTTTAAGTTTGTCTGTGCTTCTTTCAATGAAATGGTTTTGGTAAGCTGGAGTACACGGACAGACGGACGGTTTCCACCCTGCCTCTGTGCACTGCAGAGCGCAGGAAGGGGTCGGGATGGCGGGGAGAGTTTCCTTGTTGTCCACCATGACTGCAGTGAGACAGATAAAGGTTGAAGACTAGAAACAGAGTCACCTCAGAAACCTGGGGACAGAAGGGTGGCGGAAGGCAGGTGGGCATGGTGGAGCTGACCTGAGTAGAAGCTACAGTGCTCGCCCACCATCAAGTTCCATCAGCCAGAACCCCCAGGGTGGCATTCAGACCTCTCCATAACTGCCTTCCCTAAGCCAGTGAGACCCGAGGTGTGTCAGATCTTCACTTAATCCACCACCATCACAGTCACTTCTCATCGCCTCATGCCCCTTTCATTTTCACCTAAGCTTTCTGACCTGTTTTCCTGATATTAATTTCAAATACAAACCTAACTGGACCACTCCTGTTGAATTCCTTGGCAGTTCCTCTTTGTTCTTTACACAGTTTCCAAAATCTTCATCCTGTCTCGTCCGCTCCTTGTGTGTGTGCCAGGTCCAGTGCTGTCCCCCAAACAAGGCTTTCTCTGCCCATGTCCCAGCTTATTCCTTTTTTCCATTCCCTCTCATGAGAAATCCATCCATCCAAGTCCAGTTTTGAAACTCACTGAAAAAAACCGTAGCACAAACCTCAGACGTTGGTTTGACCTAGCTGGATAATTAGAGTGAGCATCCTTTAGGCATTTCTTACAGGAGCTGTCTGAGCACATGCATGTAAAGTCAGGTTTTGACGAAAACATCAGTTGGCAGAAAAACTGGGTAGTATATAGGAGTGTAGTAATTCAACTTGGTGATTCAAACTTACTTTGCAAAAACAAATCGTCGTCAGAGACCATCACTCCATCCTTTTTACTGTTTCAAAATCACAGCTGAAATCTGGAGAGACAGCTGCCAACATCGCCAGAGAGCTGGCTGAACAGACAAGGAACCACCTGAATGCCGGGGACATCACCTACTCAGTACGCGCCATGGACCAGCTGGTGGGCCTCCTGGATGTGCAACTCAGGAACTTGACGCCAGGAGGAAAGGACAGTGCTGCCCGCAGTTTAAACAAGGTAAGGACCTGGGTTAATGTGTCCTTAGGGTTGCAACACAGTCAGGGAAACTTCCTTGCTTGATGCTTCCTGTGAGAGTCAGAGCATTTGAAAGAGGATGGATAGTCAGTTTACTCTATATCCATATTTCTGGCTTTTATCCTAAAAATAGTAAATCATAATGTCACCCTACATTTTTTGAGCTTACAATTCTATCGTCCAGAACAACAGCCTTTGTCCTGTTTCTTTTATGCTAATTTTTAACAAAATTGGTTAATGTAGCTTAAAGCAATTATTTTTTTTCTTTCAAACCTGCATATTAAAACATTTGACAATAACGAGTATCTAATCATTAAGCAGGAATATAGAAATTAGCATTAAGGTGATATTTTAATACAGGTGATTTTAAAGTGAGATAATGTAACCTATTTAATGTTACTTAAATAAAAAAATCATGGAACAAGTGATAGCTTCAATTTTTACTTCATTTATTTTAAAGTACTAATAAATTTACATCAATATCATTAAAAATATGAAAATGTATGTGTATATCTATAAGTACAAATTGCACGCAGTGAAAATGCCTGCAATTTTTATTTTCAGTTTCAGGGAAATACATTTTTTGAAGGTTTATTCACATTTATATAAATAACCCATTTTATTCATGTGAATTATAAACAAACTAACTATTTTATTTGTATAAAATATGAAATTTACATTACCTATTTGTAAGGAATATTAGTTAATTATATAATATAGCACCACATAGTGAATTAGTCTCATGGGGTGAAAAATTTTAGAATTGTTACACTCAGTTGACAAGTGTTCTCTGAAAGGCATTTTGTAGTAAAGATGCTCTAATTAATGATGAATTTTAGGGCCTTGAATATCATGGTAGTCTTACTCCTTAAAAAAAAGAACTTGATAGTGATAGATGAATGGCCCTCTATAAACTTCACTAAGACAATATTGTCCTTTAGAATTAAGCAACAACAACAAAATGACTACAGACTTGTCTTTTAATAACGTTTGGTGCTTCTCTGTCTTGCTGGGGTAAGAATCTTATGTAAAGAGCAGTTTTTAGTAACTAATTTTCAACATAGAAAAGCCAGATACTTTATTGAGCGAAGAGTTTTCCTTTTGGCTTCATCTTTTGAAAAGAAGTACTGTTTCATTCATTATGAAGATAAGATTGAATGAGCATGAAGAAATTACTTTTGACACTTATGCCCTGATAAGATAGAATCCATAGGCTAGAAGCCTGTGTAATCTGCATGTGCTGTGAGTTAAATGTGCTGCTACCCAAGCATACAGGGTCCTAGGAATGAATATTGCCGCCAATTATTATTATCATAATGTACTGAAAGTGGTGACTTCTATTAATGTTACATATCCATAACATGACTTGTTACAGCAATACTTTGTATCTTTATTTAAAAATGGTGTTGATATCTGACATTATCAGGTTGAGTTGGCAATTAATGTCACATTCTAACTGGCTACAGCTAATGAGCTCGCCTACCCTGAATATCAAATAACTACATAATGGGCAGATTTCCATTTGTGAAGCTTTTTAATGCTCTCTTTTGTTTTCCACTTGGTTCTTTTCAATTGTTTCTATAATCTGGGCTGTCATGTGTTAATTTGCATGATGCGGTACTGAGCTGGGGAGGGCAGAGGGTTCTCCCTGCTTGCTGCCTTGCTCTCTTCACCTGTGGTCCCTGCCTTCCCCAAAGCAGTTATAACCCATCAGCTCTGCAAAGTCAACTTGGTACACATCAACTGTGCTCCTCATTGAAATGCTGGAGGGTTTAGAGTCCTACAAACCATGATGGGAGTCAGTGGTCCAAGTGACAGTCCTGACAACGCACTTGCACTCATTCCTCTCTTAATTCTTTAGAGGAGTGACTGCTCCCAGTGCATTCAAAAAGGCGTCACTTGGAATTGGCAGAGTATTAGCCACAAAGATGGCCTCGCAGCAACTGCTTCTGTAATCTGGGTAATATCAAAGGTGAATGTAAAGAGAAATTAATAGGAGAGAGGAGAATACCCAAAAAACCATGACTTCATAAATCTTGAGTCATTTCTTTACGCAAGGTGAATGAATTGTCATTAATTCATTTTGGCACCAGAAAAAAAAAATTTGGATTGAGTATGAATTACTGTCAGCCCTCTAATCAGAAACACCTCACTCTGTTTGCAAATGAGCATAATCCACCAAAGTTTCTGAAATGGATACAGACATATATATTTGGTTGAAACTGTCAAAAGATGTTTTTTTAAAAGAGTGATATAGCAGAAGATTAATCACACTCTTTTAATCAAAGTTATTTATTTTTCTTGTGGGGGTATTTTCCCTCATAGAAACAAATCGTCATAATGAATGGGCATTTCTGTTTTCTTGATAAATAGAGCATTTTGTCTGCATGAACCAATATATGATTTGTGGTGCCCATTAATCATCTCAATTATCTGAAAGCCACAAATAATCTACCATCTTTAAAAAGTGAGTTCCAATCTTTTGACATAACTCATTTTTAATTTTATGTGTATCTTTCCATTTGTGGGCCCATCAGTTAATAACTAGCCTGATGCGAAACGGATTGCTTGTGTTGGATGTGGCATATTGATTTTGACTAACGTCTACTAAATGTATTCAAAGATCTCTCTCTATTACTAATAGCTGTGTCCCCTCCAGTCTCCCTTGGGCTGCCGCTTAGCTTTCACACTCTTCTAGAACGTAGTGAGGAACAAATTCAGGTGTTTTGTGTAGATGTGCTCTTTTATTTTTCTTGTTTTCTTCTGTCACTAATGTGTTTTTTCTATTCTGTGTTTAATCTGCTGTCTTAATGGATTCAGCTTCAGAAAAGAGAGCGCTCTTGCAGAGCCTATGTCCAGGTACTTTCTGCGTTTTTATACATGTCTTATGTTGTTGAATTGTCTCTGTTGATGAAGGCATGTTTGGACTTCGGATGCAAAAATGATTGTGCTCTATTGTTCTGGTAGATAATCAAACTAAACCTGTTTCAGGGAGGGTGTGAAGGGTGGAGATGGGAAGACATGTGAGAGAGCATGGGGAAAAGAAATTTGACACCCAGTACTCTGTGAAAACAAGGGAATAGGCAGCAGGGCCAGCTTGAGGTGTGGACCTCCTGATGGACACTAAGAGTTTAGTATAATGTATGCATTTCTGTTTGTTCATGGAGGTAGATACCAGCCACTGTTTGAAGTGCAAGCAGTTCAGAAGTGTCAGATAGTCAAAGTCATGTGGCATAGTAAGTAGTCTGCAGTAGTTGGGCTAATATGCTTCCCATCCAGAATGGAATTGTACATTGATTCAAGACTTACAACTCTCTTACTGCCTCACTGCATAAGTGTTATTCCTACTGTCACTGGGAATCTTACAAAGCTTGCATGCTTTACTTATTTTTTTTTATAAGCAATAAACTGTGTATGTTTATGGGCTTCGTAGAATAGAAAGCAATCCCAGAACCAAAGAACCAAGCAGGGGGAAAAAAATACCAAAGGACACAACATGAAAAAATTAGGAATATAAATCAGGAAACTGTAAACTTCTCTATGCATGCAAATCACGACCTATATAAAGAGGAGATCTGTCTGCCTCTACAAAGGGATGCCCGCAACAGCCAAATCTGTGACAGCTGAATCACAATGGCAGCATCAAGATATCTTGCCAATTTTTACTCACAAGTAAATATAGCACTGATACATCTACTTTTTAAAAATCTCTTCAGAAATTAGGCTGCTTTAAAAAAGTTTCAGTTTGTTGGCTTCTACGTATTGCATGATCGGAATAGTGGCATGTGCCAGTCTGGGGAGTATAGAGCTGAAGCATGTTTAGGCGGCCACGTAGCACACAATTGTAGCGAAAGACTAGATATGCTTGGAGGAAGGGTGATCTCGGCTGTGAAAAGCACAGTATGGTAAACATCTTCATGAGTGAATGAATCTGTGCTAGCTGTGATCATTCCAGCTGGCTCAGTTTTAAATCCCATACATGACATCCTTCATTTCTTGAAAAATTGTTGGGGAACAAAGCAGACATGTATACCATGACAATGTGCATTGTAGATAATTCTGATTAATAAATGTTAATCCGTTTGTACTTCAGGTAAGCTAATGTAGTGTTGAATAAATGCAGCTTGCTTAGTTAGTTAGACTGTCATTCTGGGAATGTTCCATGAGCAATTCGATTTGACCTTGTGTTATGAAGTCTCTTTAGCGGTATCAGATTCCACTACAACTGGTCCCTGTAAGTCAGTTAAACCTGTTGATGAACCTGTTTATTATTATTCTGTAGAGGAGGAAAGCTGTCTTTACCTTACTCTTCATTAGGTTCATGGCTGAGGCGCCTGCACCCAATGCCAGGTTAGTAAGAAAAAATGCAGATAAAGGTATTAAGTATACTTCTTTTGTAACGTGTGAGCCTTTAGAAGTGAAAGCCCAAAGAAACAAGAAAACCTGTGTATTTTTAGCATTAGGTTGTATAAAAAGTGAAAGTCTGAGAAATGCAGTTGGACAAAAGGGGCGTAAGAACGTGGTGATGACTTGAGTGAACATGGTAGCTTCTCTTTGTTCAGATTTATCTTGGAATCTCTGTGTCTTTTGCTTCCCTTCCTGTGTGTGTAGGTGAGGCACCCAGAATTTTGTAACTTAGAGTGGGGACTCGGGAGAGAGTAGGGTCAGAAAGTTCTTTCTCGGTTTTATGCATTGATTAGGAGCGAAGGGCATGAAGAGTAACTGCCTTCTACTGTTTTCTCATGTGCCACGGTGCCATGTTTTGCAATAGTTTACCTTATACCTCATCCATTTTCACTACTTTTACTCTCATGCTTCCTACATAAAATGAGCAACTGATAAAAGAAGGTTGTTACTCTTTTGTGAGTTTCATTCTCAGGAGGGGTAGCTATGTCTTCTTGCAAGTTCATTCCCCAGATGTCTGCACTGGCAAGAGCGAAGCCGTACCACATGCTGGAAACCTGAACCTCTGATTTCTCACAGATGGGCACCCATCACTGCTCCCTCCCAAGCGTGCAGTAGTTGGAAGGTGAAATCTGGATGAGAGCCTGAACTTGAACACAGAACTTGGCATTAGCACAGAGGCATCCCAGGCCATGCCCTGACCACTGCGCAGAGAGCCTGTGTCCCAGACACTGGGCCTTTAGTGGCCTTCTGACTTTATGAAATCATACTTTCTGAGTATAAAAAAATTCTTCAGATGTACTTTTCAGCAATATGGGGGGAAAATCACTTTGAGAGGTACCTACACTCATCTGTTAATGGCATAAATACTTATAAGACAAAAGGCACATACATTCACGCATATGAGCTATACTTTGAGTGTGCTTTCGTTTGAAAGCAGAGAACCATTTTTGCGCAGTATTGGGACTGTTTTCTGTGGCAATCTATGCTATCCTCTCAATGGGGCCTTTGGGATAATTAGCCTTTCTGTATTTAAAACTATGAAATGCATGGTCATTCAAACATGAATCTCTGATGGAAAATTAATAGCACAGTTTATTCAATGGCTGACTTCCTGGTGTTCTAATTGCCTGGTTGTGAATAACTGTTCCAGCTATTGACAAAACATCTGATAAGACCGAACACAAACAGAACACTGGCGAAGCAGAGATGCTGTGCTCACTGGTACGTGGCCCTCGCCTGGCCCTCTGCGCAGTGCGCATTACTCCCCGGTGAATCGTCCTTTCCATTTCAGGCCCTTAGAATTTGAAGAACTCGTTTTACATTCCCTGTTGTTTCTCTGTTCAGGATATCTGTGAAGCACATGGGAAATACAGTTGAGGTGCTTTTGTAATAAATTAGAAATAGCTTATTGTTGATTTTCTTAAAAAAAAAAAAGTTGTTTCTTTTGGCACACCTCCTGATTTTTGCCTGGCCTCATTTTTGCTGTTGTGGACATTTTGAGAGCAAACCAGGAGATGAAAGCTTTCTGTCTCTGTCACTCAAGGAAATAGAGTATTTTTTTCAGAATAAGTACATTTTGGGGCCTGGCGCTGTGGCCTAGTGGCTAAAGTCCTGGCCTTGAACGCCCAGCATCCCATATGGTCGCTGGTTCTAATCCCAGCGGCCCCGCTTCCCATCCAGCTCCCTGCTTGTGGCTTGGGAAAGCAGTTGAGGATGGCTCAAGGCTTTGGGACCCGGAAGAGGTTCCTGGTTCACAGCTTCGGATTGACGCAGCACCAGCCATTGCACTCACTTGGGGAGTGAATCATTGGATGGAAGATCTTCCTCTCTGTCTCTCCTCCTCTCTGTATATCTGACTTTGTAATAAAAATAAATAAATCTTTAAAAATAAAGAATAAGTACATTTTTAGGCAGCAGGTATGTGACATTATTATGCAGAACAATTAGCATACATTCTTATTTAATATTTCTAGCAACCCCTAAATGTAATTCTAGTAGTTTTGAACTTAGAAAAGTGTATGTGGGGACCCAAGAAGGGTTAATAGACCTTTGAACTATCATGCAACGGGGAACTTCTCAATTCAAAGGTAAGTCTTGGGATTTAGAAACTTACGCTCCCCAAGACACTGCTGTAGCCGAGGAGCTAACGCAGGTGACTTGGCTAGCATGTATTACCTCTGCTTGCACTGCGCTTCAGGGATGAAATGGCGTAAAACAGCTTTCCTCTATCTCAGTATTTCTTTTTTCCTTACTTCCTTTCTTCCTTCTTCTCCTCTCCTCATCTCTCTTCCTCTAGTATCAGTTACAGATAAAAGGACAAGGTGTTATTATGCTAAGAGAAGAAAAACCAGGTAGAAAATAAAGTCACTGTGTAAAAAAAACTACCATGCTGCTTTTCCGGAGTGGCTGACCCATCTTGCATTTCCAGAAGTGCTCTGGCTTCTGGTATCCTCGCTGACGTGTCTTTCTCTCTGGAAAACAACTTTGCTCTGGCCATGAGGTGGTACGGGGCAAGGATGGGGGTGTGATCGCTGGCCCAGGAAACATGCAGGGTTTTGTTTTGTTTTGTTTTTTCCCCAAGAGAGGTGTGTGATCTTAGACACAGGGAGTAGGACAGAACCTCCAGCTGCTCCCTCGGATCACCTGCTTCGCCCTTGGGTGAACGTGCCAAGGACTTTCCCGATTTCTTTTCATTTCTCAGCTTCAGATTGCCATCCTTTCTACAGCAGTGTTTGTTCTCTGCCTTAGCAGGAACTGAGAAGAATTACTGGTGTCTCTTTCACTGTGTCGAAAGCAGGGTATTTTCCTATTTAAGCAATGTGCTTTAATTTGGATCAGTAGTTTCTTCTCTCCTCATTAGGGTGCCTGCAGTCAGCCTTTCTTAATTGGGAAATATTCACCAAGGTACATTTAAGGTTCAATGGGAAATCTTGGAGTCATTCTTTCTAACCTGCTGTTACTTGTCTAGCCAGGAAAACTGGTGGTGACTGGCTTCAGTTTCTGACTACAGCTTCCTGTTAACACCCTGGGAGGTGGCAGGTGATGGCCCCATTGCTGTGAGTTCCTGCCACTCATGCAGGAAACTTGGATTATGTTGCAGACTCCTGGCTTCAGCTTGCACATGCTCAGCCCAGACCAGTGCGTGCATCTGGGGAGTGAACAGAAGATGGGACCCTTCCTGTCGTTTGTCTGTATCTCTCTGCCAAATTAAAAAAGGATATTTAAGAAACCCACTTCACACCCTGTCTGCCATCTGCTCAGTACCTGACAGTGTCTGGGTGTCACCACAACCCTCGAAGGGTCTCAGAATCTGCTCTCTGCTAAATCGCTCTCTTGCATACCTGCACCATCCATCCCTGTGCTTCTTTTCAGGCATTGCTCAGATACCCGTCCCCCAGTCACTCATTTCTTGCTTTCCCAGCTAAGTTCATATTTCTTCCCTTAGTATATAC